CCTTCTGCTCTGTCTGCGATGCAAGACTCAAGCAATTCTTAGAATCCAGCATAAATTGACTGAAATCTGGGTGTAGCTAATGGAGAGCAGGGTAAGAGAATGAGTAGGAAGGAGGGGAAAACCAACCTGCTCTCTCTGCTCTCTGCCTTGAGTACCACCTCTGGCCTGTAAAATCAATTCCTTGCTTTGAATTCCCTCTGCTGCAAATTAAAGTACTTTTCACTTTCTTGGTTCTACCCTGACTCTGACCAATTCAGTAGGTGCTACTCTGGTATCTAAGAGCTAAGCTGTATACCCCTCAAATTCCTGTGCTAGAGACCTAATGTCGAGTACCTCAACTTGTAGCTATATTTGAAGACAGCGCCTATAAAGGGGATGATCAAGGTAAAATGAATGTCCTTAATCCAATATGAATGGTGTTCTAATAAGGAGAGATTAGAACACCATAGATATAAACACGCACAGGAGGAAGGTTATGCTCACATAAGAAAAGAAGCCTATCTATAATCAATGAGAGACCTTGGAGGAAACTTTTCTGTTGGATCAAAGTGTACTTTCTGCACTCTGCATTTAATGTGCTGTATTCAGGAAGGCATGCCACTGGTTATGGCAACAAAAAGCCATGGTCTCTTCTAAACTATGGGGCTATCTTCTCCTCTGTAATTATGAAAGGTACAGTGGAAAGAGAAAAAAAATAACAGCAATATTTAGCTTTTCATAGTTCTTGTTATGTGGACATACACCCAACTGAAAGAGGAGATTTGGAGTATTTGACATGGAGGGATTGACATGGAAAGGAGAAGAAACATAGCAAGAAAAGTAACAGCAGTTATACCCCATCATTCCCATTTTTTTTCTTCTAACACATTACAGTTTGCTGTTTCTTCATCTTTTTTTGCTGGGTTTTTGTCTGATTTACCTATTATAACCCCACAAGAGCTGGGACTATGTTTGTGTAGCTCACACTTGTATTCCAGAGGCTCACTCAGCAACTGGTATGTAAATGACACTTCATAATATTCCTTTAGTGAATAAAAGAAAGAAAAGAAAAAGCAGAAGAAGAGATCCTTGCTCTAATATCTTATATGTAAGGTACTACTGAGAACATAAAATCCATAGATCAATCTTCTCCCCTCAGGTATCTTATACTCAGAAAAATGCATACTAGACATCTAAAAGGAATCAGAATCCTCATGAAGGGGCACTGTATGGCTTAGAAGTGCAGAGGGAGAAGAATAAATGGGGTAAAAAATGGAGTTATGGAGGACATATAGAAAAAGCCAACAAAAAAAAGGGACAGGAAAAATACTTTGATTCTTTAGCATCAACTTCTGAATGTTTTTCACACTGCAAAACCATCAATTTCTCTAATACCCAATTTCATGTCAAAGCACGTCTGTCACGGTGAGCGTGATGCTTTCAATGCTCTCTATGAAACCAGGGTCAGCAGGAAGTCTACCACGCACTTCAATGATGACCACCTGCAAGACTCTCCAGGAGATCACTGAATTCCTGGCCTCTGTGGGTCTATTAGCCCATCTGATGAAAAGGAGGAATCTCAGGGCACCTAGTGCTCTGAAGTATGTTGTTCTTGTCCCCTCAGGCTGACTGGAGTGCCCATCTGCCTTGGTTTTCAACAACTGCAAAGAAGCCCAGCATGCACGGAATGAAATATCTACTGGGTAAGGGAGACTGTCAATTCTTAAAATGCCTGTCAGTTAGAACAATTGCCTCTAAGGATCTGAGGTAATTTTTATGCATCATGGCAAAATATTCCACCCTAAGTCCAAACATTTGGCAACTTCCTACAGAGTATAATTCAGAATCATTAAGTTTGATGACTTCCTAATTTTATCCACATTTTTAGATGATTATCACAGAATTTTCATTCCTGGTGGCTGCTTTTCTTGCCAGATTTTCAGTTTAAAAAGAATAGAGCAAAATGGGTGAATCTCACTACAGAGGTTTTTTTTTTTTTTAGTAAATATGTATTAAAATAGGAAGTATTCAGTAAGTATCTATACTATTATGCAATGACTATAACTACCAAGATAGCAGTTTTAACAGCAGTTTTGGGGGAACACTAGTAAATCATTTCATCATTTCAATTCATTTCATTCTAGAAATGATAGGGAGAAGACAGAAATAGAAATATATAACCTGCTTTAAATTATAAAACATATTTTTCTGCTACTTTTCAATCTCCACAAAATTAAACGTATGCTTCCTTAAGCTACATAAAAATCAATGAAAAGCCATACTCTAGTCTACTGAAGAATAGCTCATCCAGGTAGGACTTAACTCCTTTAATACATTCAGAAAATTTCTAGAGTCATCAAGAAACTTTTAATAAACTTTGCTTCTAATTATAATGTAATTACCTGAAACAAATTAGTACATGTTCCAAAATAGTCAAGAATAAGAGGAGAGATGCCCCAGGATCAATTAAAAATTAAGTACGTTGTTCGTCTTATGAAGAATGTTTTTAGGTTCTTGTAAGTTTGACTCCAAGAGCCTTAGAGGAGCTGTATGCTGTTTTAATGTCCTTCCTAGAATGTCCTTTAAAAAATCTAATTATTCCACAGGAACCCTAGTTCTATCTGTGCCTGCAGTAGGAATGATGGGCTCTGGAAAAGTCCCCTAGAGTTCATCTTGACAGTTTCAGGATGACTGCAAGATGATGCAAATGCCAAAGACATATTCTGTTTTCCCTAAATGTGATAAAATTTTACAGTTGGTTGGGTTTGCCAACTGTCAAACAAAACGATACTTATTAAATGGCTTTATATGCCTGGAATAATGTTACTTATGAGTGACTAGCACAGAAAAGGACTGCTTTCATAGGGCTTTCACTCCAGCAGCAATGGTGTACACTGAACAATGAGTTCAAATGTGATGTGTGTTCATAAGCGGAGGGAGAAGTTACAACAGGAGATGATAGTGAAACGATTTGACTTCTGTTACAACACTTAGGCAAAGGGGAAAGATTTTCTTGGGGAAGGAAAATGAGCTGAAATTACTTTGGAAAAGAAATGATATCATGAAGAAGGAAGGATGTTGGGGAGAGTGAACCTGCATATGCCCCAAGACTACTGGAGAAAATGAGCAGATCTGCGTGCATCAGCAGACAGTGGATCAGTATTCAGTATTTTAAGAGAACAGAACTTGAATCATTCTTTAGAAGCATTTCTAAAGGAATACAAGATGGAAGTCTCAGTTTCATCAATGGCCACTTTTTTGCAGATCATTGGAATGAGACACAGTGATGACCAGAATGAGGTGGCCAAGGCTGCACCTAGATCAGGACAGAGTGTTACCATTCCCTCTTAGGGACAGAATGTGACATAGAATTCCACAACAGGATGTAAGCAACCCAAAAAAAGCCCATCACCACCCTACTTCCAAGACAAGTCTCACCCAAGTGCCATCACAAGCTGCCTACTCGCTGCCTCAGTGAAAGTTGGAAACCCTAATACCTTACAGGACAATACAGGGGTTTTTTTTCAGTAAATACTACTAAAATGATTATTTCTTCAACATTATTTTATTTCCATTAACTTAAAAGTCACATTTCATTAGATAGCTTTTTTTTTTTTTTAGAGAGAAAAAAAAAACAATAATGAAGACACAAAAAAAATTACAAAAACAGTAAAAACATTATAGGATTTCAAAACCAGATGACAGGCATTAAAAATGGTTGTTATATTACATATTGTTATCTTCTTTTTTTTTTTGGTTTTTCTCCGGTACCGGGAACCGAACTCACGACCCTGCGCTTGCCAGGCAGGCGCTTTGCCGCTGAGCTAAATCCCCAGCCCCTACATATTGTTATTTTCAAGGAAGTTCTCAGATAACCAGATATACAACATTTTTTAAAATTTTACATTTTATACTGGGGAAGTTTCTTTAGAGATTACCATAACTTTACACCTGAAACACAGATCAGAGAGATGACTTGTTGAAGATATAAACCTAACTAGAATCAGAGATGGAACTAAAATCTTGGTAGTTATTTGAATGTTCTTTTCATGAATATATTGAGTTTTGAGGATATTTATGTACTGTTACATCTCCAGCAAATATGGTAATGACGGAATATAGACCAATTACCGTAAATAGCAAATTAATATTTGTCATGCTATTAGTCAGAATTCTGGTATGTAACACTGTAAGTAACCAATATAGTGAGACTGATCTTGATATTAAAAGTAATCATAAAACTCTGGGTTTGAGTCATAGATTTGTAGTGACAGTAACCACAGACTGCAAGAACCTAACAGCATATCACTACAGCAAAATGTATTTAAATATAATTCGAACAAGGACTCACTGACAATAACCTAGGTTTTCCAACTACGTTCTCACCTCCAAGTTCTGTAGCTTCTTTTTCTGTTTAGGTGATACATGGAAACAATACATGTGCGCACACAAAATGCAAGGAAGCCTTCCTATCACAGTGCTGTAACACATTTGCTCTCCCTTAAAGTGTGCACAGGCATTTCATGGAAGTCCATCAGGAAAATACTGTGTAGGAACACTTCACTGACTAGAGGCAATTTCAGATGTCCATCAAGGGAAGGCCACAGGCACTGGCTTTCCTCAGTGTCAGCATCACCACACCCACCTCCTGCATAAAGGATTTGCATCTCTGGGTCTCATGCAAGAATCATCATCAAATCTTCTAACTCTCCAGTACCTCTTCTTCTTCACCCAGGTAAGCAGTTGTAGAGTAACATGGTGGACACAGTGAAGAGTGATTTGTTTTATCTGCATGAAAGGCTATTTTGCTCACTTAGCAACAATGAACCACAGCCAGCTTTAAAATGAAACACTTCCCCTCCCAAATCCCATCACACACACACACACACACACACACACACACCAAGAAAAGATTCAACACTTGGATTTTTTTCATTCTCTAAAAAATAAACTCAGGTCAGCAAATATGAGCATCTTTTACATTCTGTATATTCAGAGTAAGTACTCAATGCAACTTGCCATGATAACTAAATTTATTATTAACTGTGTATTTCATGATGTTAGTGACAATATGTTAATGTGATTTTTCACGTCCTCCTGCAGTGAACAGATGGCTCCTTTTACTTTACTTTCCACATCAAGTGTGATTATTTCTTGGTGCCAAAAGCCACCTGCCGCTCTTCGGTCTCCAGTCTAATTTTTTATGTTGGTAAAACACAGCAGGACTTGTTATCAGTTGGATGGCATCTTAATAAAAAGAGACATGCCAACATATTGACATCATGTTCAAGGGGAAATTTCAGCCCCTTCAAACCCCTAACCCCCTTCCCCACCCCCTTTCAAAAAGTGAGGGAAGAAAACTAACTAAGGAACTAACTCACTAACTAACTAATTAATGAAATAAATAAATGCAAAGATCTCACCAGTTTCAAGATGTTTGATTACAATTGTTGGGCCTAAAGCCAAGATGCTGAATTGGCCTCCCTTTGTTCCTAAAACTAAGCACCTCACTCAGGGCTCTGATCTTTCATCCTGTGTAATGATAATTAGCTGTAACATATTCCAAAGTCAAATGTAAGCAGGAATACATTAACATTGAGATCAGTGTCAGGGCAATTTTCATTGGGAAAATGACGAAGAACACTAGCACACATACACTCCCAAAAATTTCAAGATTTGAACGTTTATAAAAATCACTTTCAGATGTGAGAATGTGTAGCTCATTGGCTTGTTGGTCATGAGTGTTTACCTCAAATGCTATGGCTTCCTAATGCGGAAGCAGTGACTCCCACAGCCTATGCCTGACGGAGAAAACATGAGTAATACACCACAGTACCTTGCTCTAATTTTCCCATTCTTCATTAGAACAAAGAGGAATATACGTTAGGTGATTCGTGGTGCAAGAAGAGGTCTTCCAGGAGATTGGATAGTGTGGCTTGCAACAGCTGGTCCAGCACATTTGGGAACAGCATGCAGAAAAATGCATCAGTGTTTTGAAGATTGCCAACTGTGATGATTCATTGGTTATGACACAGTTTCAAAAAGTCAAATTTCCCAGCCACAACCTATAAAAATAAATGCTCTTACAATTAGGCTTCAAACCCTTAAATTCAGAAATAGTAATGAGATAAAGACTTTTCCTCTGATTCCCACTCTTGAGATTTTTTTTTTAAAAAATGAAGTGACATTATTGGATATATGAAATTTCTGGTTGAAAGCCAAGGAGTTAAACACACAGCTGGTTTCCTAGGATTTACAAAGTTTATAAAAGGCAGAAGAAAATGCCTATAATTAAAGTACAAATAATTAATGGTTTCCTTGGGATGAACAACTATAACTAGATTACTATAGAACTTTCAAATCAATGTAAACTTGGCAGTGACAATTTTATGCCTTTCAACTATCTGCCCAAAGGACCCTGTATGAAATAGATTTCTACTAAAGGTGTTAGCAGACTGATCATCTTTGGTGGTAGGGGGTGTTTGCAGATTAATCAGTGATGGATATTAAACCTAGTGTCTCTGCACTGAGTTACATCCTACCAATTTTATTTTTTGTTTCAAGACAGGCTGTCCCTAACTTGCCCAAGCAGGACTAAATCTATTGTCCTCTTTTCTTAGCCTTCCAAGTGGTGGGATTAAAGGAGTGCACCACCATATATGGCTTTATTTGCTTTTTATCAGAAATATATTTTAGCAGCTGCTATAGTTTGCATGTTGACTCTCCCCCAAAGACCTATGTGTCAAAGATTGGTCCTCAAGGTGGTGCTACTGGGAGGCAGTGGAGCTTCTAGAAGGAGGGGTACAGTGGGAAGTCCTCATCCTCATGGGATCTTGGCTTTTTCCTTTTTCCTCTTGTTTCCTGGCAATGAGGGGAGCAGTTTGCTCTGTCATGTGCACCCCACCATTCCATCTAGTAGACCCAGCAAAGTTCCAAAGCAATATGTCCACCTGGTCATGGACCAGAATCACTAAAACTGAGCTAAAATAAATATTTTTTTTCTATTTATCAGTTCATTGTTTCAGTTATTTTGTCATAGTGACAGAAAGCTGACTGATACTCTAACATTTTACTCTGCAAACTTGCAAGCCTATAGAAAATTTGAAAGAACTTTATCCCCAAAGCATTGTATCTACCATTTAGATTACACAATTAACATTTTATTGTAATTTTGTTATATGTTTCCATCTACCTATCCCAGTATATATTCAGTAATCCAATTGAATATATTAAACTATAAAATCAATAACCAACAGTCCAGCCAAAAAGCAAAATTAGAATTTTTTGACTTTATCAAAATTACTTAATGAAAAGAGCAGTGGTATTCATCTTTGCATTCAGCAAGTATTTCTGGTGTTCCTGGTTGTAGTCAGGCTAAATATGTAAAATTTATTAAAACAGCCCAGGCCACTATTCTTATTGAACTTAAAATGTAGTAGGCTCTTTTTTATTTGTAGTAACAAAGAAAAAAGAAAATACTCAAAAAGCCACTCTCTAAAACATGATATGTATAAGAGATATGTCAATCAAAATTTAGCAGATTTAGCTGTTACTGTTCTTAATTTAAAGGTTATAGGCTGGGATTGGTGGTACATGCCTATAATCCTAGCACTTGGGAGATTGAGGCAAGAGGATCACTGTGAGTTCAAGGCCATCCTGGGCTATGAAGAGAGTTCAAGCCCAGCCTGAACTACACAGTGAAGCCCTGTCTCAAAATGTTAAAAAAAAAAAAAAAAAAAAAAGTTGTAATAATGACAAATGGATGTTTTATGCACCATCATATTATTGCTTATAATAAAATCCATAAATAGTAATCTCTGAAAATGTATTTGGCAAATTATTGAGTAAATGAATAAATTTTAAACTTCATAATGTGGACATTATTCAAAACATTTTACATTAAGAAGTAGTTACACTCTAGAAGAGTAACTTTAAGGGCAAATAAATAATATATAAAGTCAATTAGACTAACAAAGCTGTTTTAAACATCCTGTACAAAAATATTTTTTAATATAATATTCTAAGGGTTTGGCAATGCTTGTAAATAGTATGTTAAGCTTTAACACATTTGCATTTGTATAAAATAGAAATTAAACAATTTTCATGTAAAGTTAAATGGCTTCACAAATACGGTAGTGCCAAAAAATATTTCAAAGGCACTTAAATTAGAATATGAGGAAACTACTATCGATTGATCAAAAGTTTCATTTGTTTTTAAAAAGTATAGGAAAATACTAGTGTAGTTTAGTTCTCTAGTTTTCTGTTCATTTGTTTACAGCATTGGCTGTCTACTTTGGGTTTGTATGCTTTGGTTAAATCCACCAATAGTTTGCAATTACACTAAGAAACTAAATCAATTTATCAACTTTCTAAACTAAATTTAGGCCAGGCATGGTGGTGCACGCCTATAATCCCAACACTCAGAAGGCTGAGGTAAGAGGATCATTGTGAGTTTGAGATCAGCCTGGACTGCAAAGTGAGGTAAGGCCAGCCTGAACTCCATAATGAGACCCTGTCTCAAAAAGACAAAAAAATTAAGAAACTAAGTTTAGCCACTTATTACTTGATTGTTTAATCACTATCATTATTATCAGTGAAACTACTATGTAAGTCAGTATTGTATAAATGAAACACTGTGTTAAAAACAAATTGCTAAAATAAAGTATTCCCAGACTTACAAACCAATGGGATTGGGAACATTTGTTTGTACATATTGGTGTGACAGGGAAGACAGGTTATAGAAACACTGGATTAAAAGCTTTTTAATTTGTAGATTAATCTATACATGTCATGTTTACTACTGCCAAATACTTGAGAATAAAAAAAATTTAAAACAATTTAAATTCAATATGTTTCACAATGTAGTGTGACAAACTGGCATAGCAGTAAATGTCTCCAAATTTTTGCTTAGAAAAACTCTGAGATAGAAGTTTTTAAAATGAACAAAGATATGTACCTATTCACTAGGAATTCAATGGGCCTTATCCTTGAGCTAGTTTTGAAGTGGAATCTAGGCCTTACTATAGAAAACTGCCTCTTATCAAATGACTATTAAATACATTTTAATGAGTAATTAAATAAATCTTGGGGCTTGGGATTTAGCTCAGTGGCACAGCGCCTGCCTGGCAAATGCAAGGTCATGAGTTCAATTCCTGGTACCGAAGAAAAACCAAAAAAAAAAATTAAATAAATCTTTACTCACCGATGTTACAATTAATCTAAACATTTAAGTTTCCATTCAATGGCTTCACTTCTCATCTGAAACAATAAATGGATAAAAACACATGAAACAGTTCACATAATTAATAAACTATATAACAAAACACTTTGTATAATGCTGAGAATTTCACAATAAAGGGGAGCTATTTCTAAGAGACAAGAAACAAGTGGTATGAATATTACTGGCTTACTGCCTGAAATTCTAAGCCCTCAGCTCAGGAAAGAGGAATCCAGGTGGAAGGAGATGGTGCTTACCATTCCGAAAACCTAAGGAAGCCAGACTCTGTACTAACTAGAAAAGACTCACACAGGGAAACTTAGAGCTCTTCCCCCAAATCTTCAACTGAGTATTGATCAGTGTATGAGTGTTAAAAAAAAAAAAGTAACACTGAAGAATGCACACAAAAAGGGATAAATTTACCCAGCACTGACCTGAGAGCCATGACAGTTTCCACCAGCCGGGACAGCCATGAGCTTTTATAAGGAAAGCCATGAGTTTTCATCAGCTAAAACACACAGAAGAATTTCTTCATCCAAGTAGAATAATTGGCCTTAGATTGACCGTGACCCTTTTTCCACCTAAGAAATTTTAAAAGCAAGACTCAAAAGATTTAAGATTATTCTAAGTGACTTATCTAATCTCAGAACAAAGTTCAAGAAAATTTAAAGGAATACAAAAATATCTAGCATCCAGCCAGGTAAAATTCACAGTGTATGGCATTTAATTAAAAGTTATCAAGCTTGCAAAGAAACAGGAAAATACAAGCTATGAAAAGGAGATAATCAAACAACCAAAATTGAACTGAACTAACACTGATGTGAGAATTAGCAGAAAGTGAAGTAACAGGTTATTCTAACTTTAGTCCATGTATTCAAAAATTTAAATAGATATTTTAAAAGACCCAAATGGATCCTAGAAATTAAAATCTACAAAGTGTGAAGTGAAAATTACATCAGATGAATTAATAGCAGATTAGATATTGGAAAAGGAAAGATTAGTAAAGTTGAAGAGATAGCAATTAGAAGCTCCCTAAAATCCAGCACAGATAGAAAAGACCGATTATAATGGATAGAGCATCACAAGCTTATATGAGAACATCAACATGCTTAGTTTAAATCATTAAAGGGCAGAGGAGAGACTAAAACATATCTGAAGAAATAGTAGCCAAAATTTGCCAAATTTAATAAAACCGATAAACCTCCTGATTGAAGTAACTCAATGAACACCAAGGATGGAAAAGCATATCATGATAAAACTGATCAAAAATATTGATGAAGAGAAAACCCTAAAGGCAAAGAAAATATGCACATTTAAACTTAAGTTATGATAACAAAACACAATAGAAACAGCAAGAAAGAGGGCTCTGATAGTAAAAAAAAGAAAGAAAGAAAGAAAGAAAGTCAATTAGAATACTTTATCAAGAAAAATAACTCTCAGTATTAGGATAAAATACAGATGCTTAACTGTTTTCAGAATTCACACCCCGCCCCCATACATCTGCACTATAAGAATGCTGAGGACTTTGATAGGCAGAAAGAAAACGGTAATAGAAATACCAATCCCCACCAAAGACAGAAGAGCAAGAAACCGTCATTACACAGGTGACCCTATGATCTATTTTTTTTCTTGGGACCGGGGATCGAACTCGGGACCTTGTGCTTGCCAGGAAGGCACCTGTGCCACCGAGCTACATCCTCAGCCCCACATAACTCGTTTTAATGTAAATCATCTCGAAGTCAGGGAGGGGCGGGGATGAGCCTGGGCGCGAGCGGGCGTGGTGGGGGAGGGAGGAGCCGGCGCGCGGGTGGGGACAAAGGGCCCCAGAGCGCCTGCGTCAACAAGGGCGGCCGGGCCTGCACCCGGCGCGCTGTCACCCGGGAAACCTAGTACAGAGGAAGGCTTCATGGCCGCTGCGAAGACGGCAGCGGTGGGTCCCTTAGTGGGGGCGGTGGTGCAGGGCACCAACTCCACTCGCTTTCTGGTTTTCAAAGCAAAAACAGCAGAACTACTCAGTTACCATCAAGTGGAACTAACACAAGAGTTCCCAAGAGAAGGATGGGTGGAACAGGACCCGAAGGAAATTCTTCAATCTGTCTACGAGTGCATGGCGAGAACGTGTGAGAAACTTGACCAAATGAACATTGACACAGCCAACATAAAAGCTATAGGTATCAGCAGCCAGAGGGAAACCACTGTCCTCTGGGACAGGTTAACCGGAGAGCCTCTCTACAATGCTGTGGTTTGGCTTGATCTAAGAACCCAGTCCACCGTTGATATTCTTAGCAAAAAAATTCCTGGAAACAGCAACTTCGTCAAGTCTAAGACTGGCCTTCCGCTTAGCACTTACTTCAGTGCTGTAAAACTTCGCTGGTTGCTTGACAATGTGAGAAAAGTCCAGAAAGCTGTGGAAGAAGGTCGAGCTCTGTTTGGTACCATTGATTCTTGGCTTATCTGGAGTATGACAGGCGGAGCCAACGGAGGTGTCCATGGGACGGACGTAACAAATGCAAGTAGGACAATGCTTTTCAACATCCATTCTTTGGAATGGGATAAAGAGCTCTGCAACTTTTTTGAAATTCCCATGAATATTCTTCCAAATGTCTGGAGTTGTTCTGAGATCTACGGCCTAATGAAAGGCGGGGCTTTGGAAGGCGTCCCGATATCCGGGTGTTTGGGAGACCAGTCTGCAGCATTAGTAGGACAAATGTGCTTCCAGGAGGGACAAGCCAAAAACACATACGGAACAGGCTGCTTCTTACTGTGTAATACAGGTCAGAAGTGTATATTTTCTGAACATGGCCTTCTGACCACAGTGGCTTACAAATTAGGCAAAGACAAGCCAGTGTATTATGCACTGGAAGGTTCGGTAGCTATAGCTGGTGCTGTTATTCGTTGGCTAAAAGACAACCTTGGTATTATACAAACCTCAGAAGAAATTGAAAAACTTGCCAAAGAAGTAGGTACTTCTTATGGCTGCTACTTTGTTCCAGCTTTTTCAGGGCTGTATGCTCCTTATTGGGAGCCCAGTGCAAGAGGAATAATATGTGGTCTCACTCAGTTTACCAATAAGTGTCATATTGCTTTTGCTGCATTAGAAGCTGTTTGTTTCCAAACCCGAGAGATTTTGGATGCCATGAACCGTGACTGTGGAATTCCACTCCGTCATTTACAGGTAGATGGAAACATGACCAACAACAAAATTCTTATGCAACTGCAAGCAGATATTCTGCATATTCCAGTAATAAGGTCTTCTTTGCCTGAAACAACAGCCTTGGGAGCTGCCATGGCTGCAGGAGCTGCCGAAGGAATAGGTGTTTGCAGTTTTAAGCCCGAGGAGTTGTCAGCAATCAGGATGGAACGGATTGAACCGCAGATCCAGGCCACAGAAAGTGAGATCCGTTTTTCTACATGGAAGAAAGCTGTGATGAAGACGATGGGTTGGGTTTCAACTCAGTCTCCTGAAAATGGTGAACTTACTATCTTCTCTAGTATGCCCTTGGGCTTTTTCATAGTGAGTAGCTTGATAATATTCATTGGAGCAAGATACATCTCAGGCTTGCCCTAATAATTCCAGCCATGAATTTGAGCTTTTTACATAATAAAAGAATCCAGGAATTCTTTCAATATGATAATACTACTATAAACTCTGGTTTCATTGATAGAACATTTACTGCATGATCCATGAGAATCTTACAAGTAGACCTGTGGCTTGAAATAAAGAAAACACAGTATAAAAACACTGTGGAAACATTTTGTGTATTTCTTAATAAAGATAGTGAAGCTGACGCAACATTCGCCCCACTCCTTGGAAACTTTCACTACACATACTTTACCACGTTGAAACAAAAATTTAGTTACCTGGGCTAATACAGAGCCATAACTAATCTGCTAAATGGAAGGACATTTTATTATAGTTGCTTTTAGTATCCCTTCATCTTTTCTGTGTTGTAGGGAGATGACCTTAAATGCTTATTGGAAACATTTCTTAAATTTTTAACAGAAATTTTTCTCACAGCATGCTTTCCTAAAACTGGTCAAACTGAACTTGTTTTAGACATTTCATATAGTCTCCCTAATTATACAGTATTGGTGTAGAAAGCTTATAGGGATAAAGACATTTTCTCCTTTCCTTTTCACTTTTTATGTATTTTACTCAGTATGTATAACAGACATGACTACATCATATAGTGTAGCCCATGACTGTACATTGTAGCCAGTAGGTTATAACAGGAAAGTTCTAACTGAACTACTATAGACATAAGTATTGTAGGTTAAATAGTTCTATACATTTTGGGGCCATATATACATATATGTGTATATATATATATTCTACTGAGAAACATTTTCTTCAAAAGATAGCATTTAAATATTAACTATATGTTTCTGTTTGTTTTTGTTTTTGGTTTTTCTCTGGTTCCGGGAACCGAACTCACGACCTTGCGCTTGCCAGGCAGGCGCTTTGCCGCTGAGCTAAATCCCCAGCCCTTAACTATATGTTTCAATCCCCAGAACCAAGAAAAAGATGCATACTATTAAATTCAAAAATGACAAAGTTATTAGTAAGTCAGATAAATATGTTAGAACTATAAAACTGCTAAATGAGTCCTAGAGAATGTATAAAATAGAAGAAACAAACAATGAATAGGAAAATGGGAAAAAAAAGCAAGAAAACATGACTGGGGATATAGTTCAGTGGCACAAGTGCCTGCCTGGTAAGCACAAGGTCCTGAGTTTGATTTCTGGTATGAAAAAACAGAAAGAAAGAGAGAAAGAGAGAGAAAGAAAGAAAGAGGAGAGAAAGAAAGAAGGAAAGAAAGAAAGAGAGAGAGAAAAAAGTAGGAATATGTACTTAAGCCTAACATTCCCAAAGAGTATGTTAAATGTAAATGGTCTAAGTGTGCCAATTAAAAAGCAAGATTATCAGATTTTTAAAAAAACAAATTTATTTTTGCAACCCAGAATTATGCATATACATATATATATATATATATATATATATATATATATATAAAATTTGGGGGCTGGGGATATAGCTCAGTGGCACAATACCTGCCTGTTAAGTGCAAAGTCCTGAGTTTGATTCCCAGTACCCCCCAAAAAGACTGTGTGAAAGAAAAGAAGAAAAGATATACTGTGCCAAAATCAAAATAAATTTGTAGTGTTTATAGTAATATCAAAAAGTAAATATCAGAACAAAAGATATAAGCAGTAGCAACTTTGTGATAAGGGAGTATATTCAACATGTTGAAGTCCTAAAGACACACTTAAATGACAGTTTCAAAATATATAAAGCAAAATCTGATAGAATTAAAAGAAAAAGTATAAACAGCTATTACAGCAAGAGATTGATAGATGTAGATTAAGTATTTAGTAAGTGAAGAAGATTTGAACAATACTGCAACAGCTGGGCTACCCCTCAGTTTTATGGCATTAATAGGCATCCGGGAAAATTGGGAGTTAAAATGTAAACCTATCTTCAAGGCTGTGAAATTAAGGGAACACACTTGGAGACAGGACGTGAAGTCAGCTCAGCCTTCAAAGACTGTGTAGTCAGCAGAGATACTAAGTAGGGAGGGCTAAGCCAAACAGGTTCTTTGAAACCAAATCCTGGCAGGGGAGTGATCTGCCTTGCTTCAAAACCCACTTAGAAACTTCCCCAGATGATAAAGGACAAATTCCAGGTGGCAAGAGACAAATGCGTTTGTAGGACAGTGTAGTGGATTGACAACCGGTGGTCAACTTATAACCCCCAGCTGAACTGAGTAAGCATGGTGCTGGGTGTGGGAGGCCCACCTGAGGACTGTTGCCAGCAGCATAAGAGGCAGAACTGGAGAAGAAGAGAGGCTGTTGGGAGCTGAGAAAAGGCTGTTGGGAGCTGGTAGAAGCAGTAAGGAGCGATCGGTTTTCTTGGAGGAGCTTCTCATGCTGGCTTTCCTGATGAACTTGGCTCCAAGTAGTTCGGGACCTTGTTAGCACTGAGAATAGTTTCAGTACATTTTGGGGAGCTCTGGTCCTCACACTGAGCATCGCTTCCTTACTCCAAAGGGGAAGATGGTGCACTGCAGTCTCCTGGAGAAGCTTGTCACGTTGGCTTTCCTGATGGGAACTCAGCTGACTTCACCACTGGAGGAGCTTCGAACCTCACTGTTGCTGAGGATGGCTATGGTACCTTCCAGGGGAGCTCTGGTTCTTACTTTGAGTGTTGTTTCCTGGCTCCAGTGCAGATCCCTCAGCCTGCTAGCACAGATCCTTCATCCCGCTGGCACAGACTTCCTAGATTCCACCACTGACCTTTGGGTCTTCCCAGTGCAGATCCGTGAAACAGGCCTGCATGAAATGTTGTTGTGGGCTCTGGGCCTCCAGTTGAATTCATGGGAGGCATTGTTATGGGCTCTAGGCATTCAGCTGGACTCATGCAGGACATTATCATGGGATCCAGGCCCTCAGCTGCATTCCTGGTCTATAGTGTGTGAACAGATTTCCTGCACTGCTTTGTATATCATTTTTGGGTGACTATTATAAATAATCTTATAAACTATGTGTCCTGTATTATATTGTTCCCCTTGCAAATATCCCCCAAACCAACACAGACAGTTACTAATGTAACCTCTAGTTATTTTACTTTATTAGTGTAGTAAAGATCAAACCCCAGGGTGGAGACTTAACATAGTAATGAGGCACGCATCACATGAAAAGGCGTGATGAAGAGTGCAGGCAGCTAACGCTGCACCTCCATGCACAGAGACATCAAGACCATGGGTTTCTGCCTACTGCAGATGCCACAAATGTTGTGCACC